ACTAACACTAATTTCTATGTATTATAATACATAGAATCAAAAACTTATCTATGAGTTCACATATAGAGAAGAGTAAAGGTGTTGACTAACACTAATTTCTGTATATTGTAATAAATAGAATCAAAAACTTATCTATGGGTTCACATATAGAGACAAGTAAAGGAGTTGACTAACACTAATTCAAAACAAACTACAACAAGTTCAATAACTATCTTATTTTAACTATCTTATTATTATAAATCTCATCATTAGGTCTACATGTCAAGGGGAGTAAATTTGTTGATTGATACCAACTCCCACCAAACAACAGCTAGATATATGTCTGATTATAACGTCAGCAGTTGAATAAAGTGTCCAGCGGTGAAAAGTAAATAGAACTACTGTATAAGAAGACTTGAATATATTGCTAGATTACAGAGCAAAGACAAGACTTCGACAACAGGGTGGAACAATAAATTTGTGGTTTAAAAATTTCGAAAGCCATTTACGAGTAAGACAAAAGTTATTGCTTCTTAAATAATACTTAACCTTGCCTGCTGCTTTACATTACTGAATTTTCTTCTCCTGATCTCTTCAGGTGGAAATGTAACTTTATATCCCAACAGTCATTAATCATTTCGCAGCAGTGACATGTTCATGCATGTGAATACACTTTAATTCCTTCAAATTGTGTACTAACTTTTAAGAGTCTTCTGTCGCATGTAGTATATAAAATAGTTAGGTAATAAAAAATTAGTTTATGTAGTTATACTAAGTAACAAAAACAACGAACACTTTGAAATTATAGTGAAGTAAATGAATTTGTCAACTCTTGGAACTTTGTTAGTAAATTTATGAAAGTAACAAAATGCTTCCTTCACCTTGCATTGATTTATTCAAAACTCGTGTAAAGTAATTTGAACGAAGGTAAAGTTTATTGCAGAAAGTTTGTGTCTAATTTAAAAAACAACAAAAACTTCCCAAAAGAATTTATCTCGTTAAACCATTAATCCATTTAACAAAGTATTTACAAAGTTAAATATTTCTTCTCAAAATATTTATTTGTGTAATTGCACTATGAATAAAACATGAAATATTTTTTTTATTTATTTATTTTCATTCTCACATACTGCATTTATATTTCAACAAAAGCGACCGCAAATGAAATTATTGAATTATTTCCACATTCCTGCAGGGCAAAAATCTTTTTTCCTTTCACACTAATTTAATTTTAATTAATTTGTCAGTGTAATTTTAAAATATATGTATATTACCACAAATTTGAAATAGTTTACACCAGATTTAAATAAATATATAATCAGAAGAGAAAAATTATTTTCAAATATCTATGAACATTTCGATGTAATCGAATGACGATTTTCTGGGTACCAGAACATTCATTTTCTCGTACGCCAGACGAGAAAACGAATACGCAGATAAACGAACCAGAAACGGAGCATCCACACCGCTGATGTGGACAGAACCTTTCTATAGATTAGGACACAATACCCTCATCTCATAGAAATGAAAAAAAACCAGAATAACAAGAAATACTGGGACAATACATCAACACAGAATGATACAAATTCAAATCAGTTATTGGTAGCTATAATAACAGGAGATATGGACAGGATTGTGTGGACTTATCAAAAGAAAAGCTTAGAATCATCATAGGGAACTTAATAGGGTACTGTAAACTAAAACACCTCCTTACAAGACTGGGCATATATACGGATGCAAACTGTGCACTCTGCGAAGAGAATGAAGAGTCAGTCACGCATGGTCTGTTAGAATGCTCTGTGCTAATGCACATACGGAATATACTCCTGGGAATATATAATCTTATGGAAGAGGCAATAAAATTCTGTAAAGTAGGTTCTATTCTACTTTTTATCTTTGCAACATTGGTTAGACTCTTACTCTAAGCCCAGAAAGAGACACAGTAGACCTGATAGGCGCAGTGCCATATCCCCTTTCTATTATAAATAAAAGGCTATACACTTACATGAATTAGAGAAGATCGATTTGTACGAGAGAAAAATTTTGATAAAAGCGTATAGCAGACACAACAATATGTCTGTGTTTTGAATTCTACTTCTGAATTGTGAGTGAGTTTTAAGATTGTTATTTTGATTTAGACTATTACTTTAAATAAAGACATAAGAATGTATTATCTATGATGTGTTAAAAAGATGCTGCAGTGCAAGATACGGCCGCAAACCAATATATATATACACCATATGTATACGTTAAAGAAACACACTCAGTACTTATAATTCAAAGGGCTAGCGACTTTTTAAAGCTTTGTTTCTTGAGAATGACTTTTTAACATATAAATGTCATTCAAATGAACCACTTAATCTCAATCGAATATCGCAAGTCTTACTATAAGTAATTTATAAAATGAACCAACCTGGATATTTTGCAAATAAATTGCTTTAACGAACTATGCACAACATCGTAATAAGCCAAATTTTGCTTAAAAGGAACACCTTGAGATAATCTCCGAAGTAATATTGAATCAAACATCGAATTTTTGAATTATATTCGTCTTCATTACTGGTAGCGAAGTGTGAATATGAATTCGGCATACCAACAACTTAGACGTCATGTGATTAAGAGACAAAAATATTGAAACTCTACGCCAAATTTACACCAACGACTAAGTAATCCTTATAGTGTTGTGCGATACTTGCATCTTTTGTGCAAATTTTTTTTTTGTGGAAGTACATTTCGTGGGTTTCATACAATGAGAATATATACAGACTCATACAATATGGTAATTGTAATCAAATTCACGGACAACAACTGGTTGATTATTATTATAAGCGAGAGACTTTACTTAATCGTTCTTAATCAATCTTAATCGTACTCTGTTTAATACCGTCCTTATGACATCATTCTACGTATATCCGGCATCATCGATTTCATGACTTTGATCGACACCATGACTTTGTTGAGGCAATGATCTCGTGAAGTACTCGTTGGTACAAAATTGTGACTATAAGCTGTTTGGGCGTTGATTATCAATATTAGCTACAAACCTTACTTACTGCCTCCTTTACTGGTGCTGAAGTTAAAGGTCCCCAATATCAATCTTAATCATACTCTGTTTGACACCGGCATTGTGATATTATTCTACGTATATCCGGCATCATCGATTTCTTTATCAACAGTTCAACAACATACCTTTGTTGAGGTAATGAACTCGTGAAGTACTCGCTGGTACAAATTTGTGACTATATGCTGTTTTGGCTGACTAGTGTAGGCTGCTATAAAAAATGATATTAAATTTTTACGAGTTCCTATCAATAATATATACATCCAACATTGGAAGATAATACAGATTGAATTACTATTCAATTCGCTTGTCATAAGACTCAGCATGCTAGTGTCATCCAAAGTATATTATGCTTTAATAGTCATGTAAAATTAAGTTTTTTAAATTTATATTGCCATTTTTATTATACATTTTAAAATTTGTATTTTATGGCAAAAAAATGAGTAGTTAGCTCACTTCAAACTGCCAAACAAATTACTGAAGTTGAAAATAAAACTAAAAGCAACACAGCTGCGGATTTGGTCGTTTCATACAAGAGAACCAAGTTTAAAGTGTTATTGATGGCACGCTATGGGAATTGCAAGTAGTTTCCTTTATTATATTATATGAAAAAGCAGTAAATATGAAAAAATAAGGATCAACATGGTAAAACCATAAGCGCTGAACATACAAGCACACATATGACTTAAAATACTAAAAACAACTTTTTTAACAATAAAAATATAATAAAAAGTAACAAAAACTCCCAAGTAAAAATGGGAGGAGAGATATATTTATTTGCTTATAACGTATTTTGCGACAATAAAATTTAAGTGACTTAAAGGAAGAAATTTCCAAAAATATTCTGCCAGTCATATATAATATATATGTTATTTTATATATTCTTTCTGTTTCCACATATCCTTTACATAAATAAAAATTTTGAGACAAAATGGCGCCCAGCAGCTACTAGACTACCAGAAGCATTTAAAAGAGATAAACAAAGTGTCAATGTTGTATCCTTTGAGAGCAATACAAAGGATGTGATATGCGAGTACAAGCGTTTAAAATGATGCCACAGCACATATTGCCACTTCTGTTTCTTGTACTCGCAGTTTTGTTTATATTAAGCTTGTTTATCCTGCCAGAGAGTTTATTTGCCTTTAATAGACGATTGTGCTGAAGTTTCCAAAGTCACTGATTAGAGTCACTGCTAGTTCCGCCTTTCGCGCGGCAACCAAACGAAACAGGAACTATGCAACTTTGTTGATTTATTTTAATTTTACAAGTTGGTGTGACTTTCAAGCGGTTTTCAGCAAAAATTGCAAAATAAATGAAAGAAGATACATGTAAGCGGTTTGCATTTCCGTGCATTTTGTGACGCTCATGCAGTCACGTTGGCGCTCTTTAACTTGCTGTACTGATTGCATGAATTTCATTAAAAGGACCCCATGTGTGATATATTTATGCTTGACAGAAACAATTTTAAAATTTAATTTTCTAATATGACATTTGGCATTTTATATTCATATTCATTAAATTTCATGACTTAAGTGCAGAGAAGTAGAGTCAGGCACGCACCAATTGCCGAAAAATCTCTGTTCATTTGTGTGAAGGAATTTTCATTACATTTTAAATGGTTGGTATTTTAAATTTTATGAATCCTTTTAAAAGTGAACTTGGCCTTAACCAGTATTTTGTTACTATACAAATTACAATTTGCATTTTGGCTTCGAATTTTTCTATATGAAAATGCATTTCATCAAGTTCAAGGATGTAAACTTAAAAAAACAGAGAACTTAAAGTTTTGTCCTATAAATTTACTTAAAAATTTATTGATAAAATTCTTCATTTTGCTAGTATAAATTCAATAAAAGCTTCAAGTGCTACATTGGCTATATGAAGTTGATTTATGATATTTGTTTCAGAATATACTTCAAAATATTATTTTTTATTTTTAATTTTTTTTTTCATTACTTACAGTATGTGTCAGTAGTCAGGCGATCGATGGTGTCTTGCTTCAATTTTGAGTTTTTCTTTCCCATTTTGTGTTTATTTTATTTTTTATTACTTATATAAGTTTTATCAAGAATTTCGAATTGATGACGTTTGGCTTCAAGTGGCTTTCTGCACTTTTATTTTTTTTTTTTCAATTCCAAAATTTATTTATTAAATATGCATCTGTAAGAGAAGGAGGATTTTCTTTTAAAACACTATATAATTCAAATATTAAATATGTTTATAACAAATTATTGATTGTACATATTATAGTACAAATCATATTTCATAATTTTGATTAGAAATTATTTTAATTAAATTTTAGAAAATAGAATTTATATTTAAATTTGTAGAACTGGTTTTAAAATATATTAAAAGTGTAAATAAATTTGATATTCAAATTTTAGGAAATAGTTTGTTTTTTTATAATTTTTTTAAATATAATATATACACAACGTGATGTAGCATAAATAAACAAGATTTCAAAATTCTCAAATGCAAGCCAAAACAAGCACTCCCAGGCATTAGCTCTTATATCGAAGAGTTGGTAAGGGATATGAGATCCGGAAGTTTGCCTATTTTCAAATTTTTTCTTTTCTTTCTTTTTTAGTTTGGTTTTTTATTGAATCTTCTAAGAATTAACTTAAAACTAACAATACATAATCGCTAATTGCAATAGTTGAAGAAAGGAATTAGATAATTAATTGTCCTTAGCCAAAACTTCGTCCAATTTCGTTTCCATGTTATGCGTTATTCTTCAATAGCCGTGTTTATATAGTTTCTTTTGATCCACTGGGTACCAGTGCTTTAGATGAGATTGCATGCAAGTGGATTTAGGTGATTTCTGAGTTTGATTCTGTACTTTTGCGTTTCTACAAATTCTCTTTAATTAACCGTAAGTTAAGCATTATATAATTCCGTAAAATTTGGAGCCGTGATCAATACTAATAAACTGTTTTGAAAATACTCAGTTGGTCATTTCCAGCATAAAGTAAAAATATTTTTGATTTAGAAGTTATGCAGCCAAAAATTAATCAACTAAGGATAATTCAGTTGAGACCAAGTCAGCCAAATTAAAATAACTAGAAGTAAACCAATCAAAAGATATTCTGACAAAAGTTGAACAGCTGAATGTAAGTTAGCTGAAAAAAATTAGCTAGTAATTATTCAGCCAAAAGTTTAACAACCAGAAGTAAGTCAGTCCACCAAGAAGTAAAGTAAGTCTACTAGAAATTATCTAAAATCCTGAAGGAATTTAATGAGAAATTAAAGTTATACAGCTTATAGGAATATAGAAAAGATTAATTATAATAAAAGCATAATACTATTCTTAATAAATGGTAATTCCTCTTTAAAGTCTTTAATCTCAGTCACGGTTGCCACTTATGGTACTTTAGTACCAAAATTGGTACTTTTTTTTCCGTTTGGTACTCTGGTACTCATGTTCAAAAAATGGTACATTTTCGGCGACCCAACTTTATTGTGGATATTGTATTGTTTTATACTTCTTGTACATTTTATATAAATTGTATTTTCTTCAAAAAGACAATAGAAAAATTTTGGACCTTTTTTTACAGAAATGGTACCTTTTTAAACCAATTTTGGTACAGAAAAAAATTTTCAAGTGGCAACCGTGATCTCAGTTCAATTTACAGAGATAAAATTATAACGTTAAACTCAATATTTGTTTTCCTAGCCTGTTTTTTTTTTGTTCTTTTCTATGTATAAAGACATATTTGTAACTGTAAAACGTTTAAAATTGTCACACAGTTTACACAGTGACCTCTTATACCCACCTAGAAGATACCTTTATACTAACTTCTCTATAGCGCTACGATAAGAGATCAGAGAGATGGACAATATCAAAAACTGAACAAAAACAGCTTTAAGTACGAGACAGTACATTTATTCTTCAGACTGAATTAACTACATGGTTAGTCTTATAGCGTGCTTACTGAAAGAATATTGTGCAGTACAACTATGATTAGGATTATTGGGATTATGATTCTATAACACTATTCTTCAATTCTATTTTTAGTAATTAAATTCTTATTTCAAAACAGCAAGGGCTCATGACGAAATTTCGAGTGTATTAGATAAAACTACTTCTTAAAAACCTACTGCTTTTAAATGGGCCATCATATCTAAAACTGATATTCAAGCCTTAAAGACGATGCTGATGCAGGCCATGCCAACACTTCATCTAATTGCGTAATCTTGAAATTTCTGTGGAACTGGGAAAAAAATTTTTTTTGTCCAATTCTTTGTACTTAAGGTTCCCTTGATTTTTCATTTGAAAAAATTGTCTGAAATTTATGCAATATATATATATAAGCATTTCTGTAAATAATTATTTGAATATATATTTAAAAAATGTTTAATTTTTTTTGATAAATATTTTTTTGTTTATTTTAATATAGAAAAGTTGGCTGTGATATTTTTAAAAATTTGACCAGTCGAAATAAAAACTTATATTTTTTATATCGAATATAACTTTCGTTCAGTAAATATTAAAATTCAACTTTTTTGGCCATTTTATCAAAATTGTCAGTAATTGCATTAACTTATAAAAATAAATACATTTTGTAATTGTGACAAGTATTAATAAATAATAAATCAAGGTACTGTATACAAAATATTCCATAAAAAAAAACTATAAACCCACTTCCAATTAAATTCTAGGCAGCAAGTGTGATTTCTACTTGAGATTCATCATAATATATATTTTTTATTGGCATTGTAAATGGAAAAGACTTACACAAATACTGGTGAGTTTACAAAAACTATTCGATTTTAAAAAATAATTATTTTTTTTACGCAGGAAAATATATTCAGTATTCATTATCTTCGCTTGTCAGTTACTTCCTTCCTAGTGCAATCCTAGTGCCTTAACAGATAAGTGATTATCATCTCTATGCAGTTAATTATTGGTAAGTAGAATAATGGAACATCTTGATTTTTGAATACAATTTATAATACCTGTCCACAGAGCTGTAGATATATGTATCCACATTATTTGCATGAATGTCAAATAGCAAATCATGGATTGCATAGATCTGTTTCTAGCTTCTAGGGCAATGGAATACTTTAGTAGTGGTTGGTACGAATAGCATTATACAATGTAATACTTCAGAGTTGCATAGTCCAGCATTATCTTACATTATCGTTAAGGGTCTGTGCCCACAATTTATTAATAGGATGCAATACTTCACTATCTTACACTATCTTTTAATTATCTTAGTAAATTTTAATATTTAGTTGAAGGTGGTGATTATCATGTGAAGATGAACTCTCGGATATAACGAAAACCTGATTATGACTAAAAACCAATTTTAGATGTCATTTAGTTGGATTGCACTCAGGATTTCGACTTCCCGATTCATGTTTGATGAGCAGATCTCAGGTCGTTCTGATGATTTACGTTACTTCCAGATTCGTTTCCGTTGAGTAGCTCTCAGATCGTTTAGATAGTTGAAGTTACGTCATGTATTTTTAACTTATGTTAAATTTTGTTTAACTTGACGGTGTAATCAATGACAAACTAAAACTGTTACCTTTTTCGTCTAAGTTTAAAATAATAAAACTTATGGGCGAAATGAAATGAGACTTTTATTTTTATAAACTTAGTTAACTTAAGTCGTTAGTCATGTGGTTGTCATATACACATATACATATATTCATAAGTTCTCTGCAGGATATATATATTCTTTTATCTGTAGTAGAAAATTTCAGCTACTGAAATAGTATTTAAATTTTTATTTTTTTTAACACTTCATTTAGAAAAATTGCAACAAGTAAAAAGCACTATGCTTTCCATCTTGGTTAGTTGTTTAAAATAGAAATTACTATTTTAATTAAAATAAAAAAAAAACTGTATATGTCACGTCTAAATCTTATTAAGTTAGTATAATTTAATTAAAGCCACATCAACTTTTAATTTGAGAATAAAAACCTTTAGTCCAATATAATGCTACATTCTACGCATTCAGCTTAACCAACTTTCCAAAAGTTATATGTGCTTTGGGACAAACTTTAATAGTTATTGTGACATGAAATCCCCAAACAAAAGTTTAATTTTATATTTCAGAAATGTTAAAATGGCTTAAGGAAATCACTTATCACTGTCAGGATAAAATAGAATGAATTGTTTTATGTAAACTAAATGTGTCATAAATTTTCATGTAAACAAATAGACAAGCAGTAATAGCGATATTTAATATATGCAATAACAACAGTGATTCAAAATTTGTTTATTTATTAATTAATTAAACTTTTTATTTAGATATTTTGTTTTTAATTATTACAATTAAGGAATTTATTTTTATGAAAATGAGATATATAACACATAACATGACAGGAAAACCGTTAATAATTTATATTCTCAATAGTTTGTCACAAAACATAAGTTCAAAATAAGTTCAAAATATAATCTAAAAATATTAATAATATATATATATTTATATTATGAAATATACTAGTTTCTATTAAATATAGTAGTCACTTCCGTTAAAAAAAAATTTGACATTAAATTGCAACTTTTATTCATAAAATATTAGACCCGCCCGTGCAACTCGGGGAGTAATATTAGCATGACTTTCTCAGTATTCCGTTCCTAAATTAGATTCAAGTGAATTTGTTAATAAAACTTTCACAGCAAACTAACAAAACTCCAGAAAAATGTGCGAACATAAAAGTCAAGTACAGTTTTAGGTGAGTTGGTTAAGGTGCGCTGCCTCTAACCATCAAACTTGGCAGGGCACGAATTCGATTCCTGGCAGTAGCAGTCTCAAAAAACTATTTACGAATTAATAAATATAAAAATTATTACCAAGACGACTAATCATGGGTGTTAAGGATGTGCTATACTCGAAACAGTTATTTGGTCAACCATAAATTCAATCAATTAAAGTAATAAAATATGATTTTTTTGTTTTTCTAGTTCACTATTGTTCGAAAAATCTCTTCATAAAATATATAAATATAAAAAATTATATAACTTGAGCTTAAATTATAAAGTTATATTTTTTTATACTTTTATATATATTGATTTTTAATAATGATTGAACAAACAAAATTTTTTATCGCTGGAACAAATCAGCCCCCTATTAATCGATTGTACCATACAATTGTTCGCTTTTACAAGAATTTAATCAATTATCTGAAATAATCTAGTGTTATTACTAAGATTAATTTTCCATCATTTGATTTAATTTTAAGTCAATTTACTAATACTTGGTGAAATACTGATACCATCGGCATGGAGCTCACCCTATTTGACATTTTATTCCCTCATTAATTTTGTTAAATGCACTTATGTGCCAAGCAATAAAAGTTGATACGATTTTCACGCGATTAAATCTGTGATGGCTTATAAAATGCAGTAAATACTCTAGCGTTATTACCAATAAAAACAAAGGCACTACAAACTCCCAGTAACAAAGTATTTTGCAGATGTGTATTTCATTATGAATTCAGCCCTCGCACAGCTGTTTGCATAAATTAATTATTGCATTCAAAATTCCATATCATGCACGCTGACATATTTGGACGGCGCTTACGTGACGTATGAGTGATATTTTTAAACACTAAAAAAATATTTTTTATAATGAATATTTGTATTGTTATTGAACTAATGAAAAAATAATGGGAATATTTTTTATTAATACTAATAAAACAATTTTTTATAATTGTTTTGTTTCATTTAATTGGAACGTACAATTTTAATAGTATTTTTTTTTTCATAATTAATTTATTTACATTTCATTAAGTAATTTTTTTTAGTCTAGTTTTTTAATAAATTTATATATAAGAACATTATTTTTAAGCTTTATATTGTTTACAATGAAAAAATCTTATTGCTAAAGTCCACATGGTTTTTATTTATTATTTGATGCACAGATTTTACGCCTACTTTGTACTGTTTGGAAGGCTTTAAAAGGATTTATTTTATAGATATTTATTTTCTAAATAGACATAATATGCCGATTTAAGCCATAATGCTATAACATCATTTAATTTATTAATTTATTTCGAATTTACGATTAAAATAGATTTATGAGAAACAAAAAATTGTTTTCGTTCCATAGTTCAGTAATGAAATAAAGTAATTCATTAATTAAGTAATAATAAAAATAATAAAATAATGTTTTAATTTTATAATTTTATTTCAGTATTTTAATTAAAATAAAATATTAAAATTACACAGAAAAATGTGCGAACATAAAAGTCTAGTACGGCTTTAGGTCAATTGGTTAAGGTGCGCTGACTCTGAGGTTCAAATTTGGCAGGACAAAAGTGCGATTCCTGGTATTTGCAGTCTCAAACAAATTATTTACGAATAATTAAATACAAGAATTATTTTCAAGACCACTAATGATAAGTATTTGGCAATACTCGAAACAGCTGTATGGTCAGCCAAAAATTCAATTAATTAAAATAATATAAAATAAATTTTTGTTGTTGTAGTTCACTACTCTTCGAAAAATCACTTTAATAATATTAAATAATATAAATAATATTAAATAAAATAAATAATATTATATAATAATAAAAATGAGTCAATAATCAAATAATTAATAAAAAATTGGTTACAAAATAGTACAAACTAATGATAAACTCAACAGCTATAAGCTGTGTAATGAAAAAATAATAAAAATTTGAAATTCTAAAATCATATCTTCTTAAAATATAAAGTGTGGTTAAACTTATATTTCTTATAAAAATCACTCCGAGTACAAAAATATCACTTTTGAATGCGTAATAATATTTGCAAGAGCATCACATCTGCATATATATATATGTAAATTATTATTATTATAGAATTTATTGTACAAGAATATAAATAACATTGGATTGAAATAGCATATGTTAACACAAGCCACAAGACTTTGAAATGCATAATTTTATATGCATAAGTATCCACACCTGCATTTAGTCATATGTAGATGAATATAGAATTTGTTATACAAAAAAAAACATTTCAAGTTAGCTTTTACTGAAATTGCATATGTAAACATCAAAACATCAAAACTTACACCCGGAGAGATATATTTTGCGTGGTATTGTTTTCAAAATTGTGATGAGAAAATATACTACCCACCATTATTATCAAAAATCAACCTTGTATGAACGAAATAATAAGTTTCAATTCTTCTTTCATATAAATAACGGAGATCCAGTATACTTCGTTAGCACTGCAAGCCATTGAAAAAACAGTATCGTAAACTATAAAGCCGCCGCTTCTTCAGCAGCTTATGTAAGCACATTGAAAACGATTGCAAATTTCTTCTCTTTTTATTATGGCTACAGAATAAGTGCTTCCTTTAAAGAGCATATTAGATCTTGCTAAAGATTCAAACAACAGTTCTCACTCTTTGAGAATTATATAGAGGTGTGAGGTTCACTTATACCAATTTCGGAGTTTCTTTTATTCATATCAGGCACAACATATACTTACTAACATTTATTTACTCAATACGTATAGATATCTGGGAGGTGTCTACTGAGATATGAGGGTATGAAACTCTTTCTTGACAATATATATATCTATTTCTGTTTTGTCTTATATCTATATAGTGATATGTATAAAATGCAAATTATCTAAAGATAATCAGTTGCAAAAATGGTACCAAAAGAAGATGTTTTATAGTATTTCCTTCCCAACCTTGGCACAATCCTAGTTATGTCGATATCCACAAATACTTTACATATATTGGTTCACAGCAATTTCCAACTCGAAATGATTACTATTACTACTACTGATTTCCTGAATTTCTTCTGAAGTTGCCAGAAGCCTTCCTCCGTAGGTGAAAAGGCATAGGTAAAAATATTATTATATATAATTCTTTATCCAAAAATAATGTACTATACATCCAAAATTCTCTACGGAAAGAAACTATCCTAATTTTTTCATATATATAATATCTTTATAATAAATTAGATTGGAGATCTTTATAATAAATTAGATAATAGATAAGTAAAATTACTTATCTATTATTGACAATTTTATGGACTAAAACTCCAAATAGAATACCATTATGTAAATATTCTGTTACTGAAACAGTTTAATTTTTTTTCTTTTCATAGAGGAAATTAGTTTCACTACACCAGACAAACTAATTATGATTGAATTTTCGCAAA